TTCTCATTTAACTTCCTGGAAAAAAAGGCAATGGGATGGTCAATTCCCATGTTGTCTTCTTGAAATAGGACTGAGCCAATGGCTAAGTTGCTAGCATCAATGGCAAGTTTAAAGGGCTTGCTAAAATTTGGTGCAGCCATAACAGGAGCATTAGATAGAAATGACTTAATAGTTAAAAAAGCTTCTTGACATTTATCTGACCATTCAAATTCAACACCCTTTTTCAATAATGCAGTAAGAGGTTCAGCAACAGCTGAAAAGTTTTGACAGAACCTCCTATAGTAACCAGCCATCCCAAGGAACTTTTTGATCTCTTTACAATTTTTGGGAGGTGGCAACTTTACAATAGCATCTACTTTAGCTTCAATGGGCCGAACTTGGTTCGTTCCCACTTGATAACCCAAATAGGTAATTGAAGCTTTACAGAAATCACTTTTATGTAAGTTTACAGTAAAATTAACTTCAGACAATTTTCTAAAAAGGTTGGTCAATTGAACAATATGTTCTTCAAAAGTATTAGAAAATACAACTATATCATCTATGTAGGCCTCACATTGGTCTATGTCAGCAATGACTGAGTTAATGACTCTCTGGAAAGTTTGACCAGCATTTCGCATACCAAAGGGCATACGTTTGTATCTATAAAAACCATTAGGGGTTACAAAGGCAGATATTTCTTTTGCACGGTCAGATAAGGGGATTTGCCAGTATCCTGAAAGTAAATCAATTTTGGAAATTATCTTAGCCTGACCAACTTTATCAATAACGTCTTCTATCCGAGGTAATGGATAGGAATCAGCTTTGGTGAGCGCATTCACCTTCCTAAAGTCGGTCACAAACCTGAAAGATCCACCGTCTTTCGGGACTAGGAGACATGGGGAACTCCAGCTGCTGTAACTGGGCTCAATGATATCATTCTTGAGCATATAATCAATTTCATCTTTTATCAAAGCAGCTTTTTCTGGGTTAACTCTATAGGGGTGTTGTTTAATGGGTTTTGCGTCACCAACGTCTACATCATGAGGTGGAACCTTCGCTTCTTTGGGAACATCCCCAAAGATAGAGGGAAATGTCTCAAACAACTGAGACAACCTATGGCTTTCCTCTGTGGACAAATGCATAAGGTGGACATTCAAATTATCTAAAAAGGAAGAATTTACCAATTTTGGGGGTTTCAATTTATCATGTATCACATCATCAGAAACATTTGAACATACAGGTAAAGTAATTTTAGCTGTGGATTGAAAATTGTTACAATTATCATAATACTTTTTCAGTGAGTTGACATGATACACTGTCTGTTTCTTTCTTCTGTCGGGCGTATTGACAACATAGTTCAAATCACTTAATTTTGAATGCACAGTAAAGGGTCCACAATATCTCAAGGATAACGCATTGTTCAGATTAGGTACTAGCACAAGAACTTTGTCGCCTGGATTGAATGTTCGTTTACAAGAACTCTTATCATACAGTTCTTTCATTCTAACTTGGGCCTTTCTTAAGTTCTTGTGAGCCATTTCGCACACGGCTTTCAGTCGAACGTGAAAATCGTCGAAGTTTTCCACTGGATGATCACTGGTACCTGTCCAACGTTCGTGTATCAGCTTCAGGGGGCCACGGACAGAATGTCCAAACACAAGTTGAAAAGGCGAGTAACCTAAAGAGTCCTGGACACAGTCCCTCGCGGCGAAAATAATCCAAGGAACAGACTCATCCCATTGGGTGTTACTGTTAGCGAATGTCCTTAGCATGGTTTTGAGGGTTTGGTGGAACCTCTCAAGTACGCCTTGAGACTGAGGGTGGTAGGCTGAGCTGGTGATGTGGGTAACGCCTAACTTGGCTAGCGCTTCCTGAAAATGGTGACTGGTGAAGTTGCTGCCTTGATCTGTTTGCACGATTCTAGGTAATCCAAAGGTAGTGAAGAACCGGGTCATGGCTCTGACTACAGTCTTTGCCTTAATGTTCCGTAAGGGAATCGCCTCGGGAAAACGGGTACTTGAACACATAAAGGTAAGTAGGTACTCGTTGCCCGCCTTGGTTTTAGGCAAGGGACCTACACAGTCCATGACGATTTTAGAAAAAGGTTCTTCTAATACAGGAATCGGACTCAAAGGGGCCTTAGGAATTGTCTGGTTTGGCTTTCCGGCCAACTGACAGTTCGTGCAACTTCTACAGTAACGCGACACATCTTTTCTCATTTTGGGCCAAAAGAATAGTTCTTTGATCTTCGCCGTCGTTTTAGTGCCTCCTGGGTGCGCTGACATTGGATGGTCATGTGCTAGTTTAAGTATTTCATGCCGATAAGGTGGAGGAACCCACAGCTGGTTTTTACCCAACCATGGTTCGGCTGGTGAGGCATTCACTGGTATAGCGCGACGAAAGAAGAGGCCGTTCTCGGAGAAATATTCTCCATCGTCTGATGATAGAGATTTTTCGACCGTTGCTTTGAGTTCCGCGTCGACTTGTTGAGCTTTAATGATGTCTTCCTGAGATATCCTCAGGGGTAAGCCCAGACTTGTGTTTTCAGGAAGCATAGACTCCAGTTTGGGAGTCGAATTTCTTGACGATGATGGTAGGTGTGGTTCAGACGTTGTGTCAGCCAATTGTTTGGTCTGGCTTCTTGTCACCGCACATGCAGGATACAGTTCATAATCATTATCTGGAACTGTTGACAAAGGGTCTGAAACCGTACAGGGGTATACTTTGCTTCCCGCAAGGTCATTCCCTAGAAGTAGGTGTACTCCTGGGACAGGAATACTATCTATCACACCTAAAATGACCTCACCTTCGACGAGATGATGTTTCAGGGCAAACTTGTGTAGAGGGACGACAGTAGATTTCGTCCCTACTCCCTGGATAATGGAAATCCTTCCGGTGTTCGTCTCTGGTGTAATGTCCATTGAACTTTTCAAAAGGAGTGATTGTGACGCTCCTGTGTCTCTTAGGACGGTGATATTCCGCTGAGACAACGGATCACCTGGTTTGCTAATGATGGCTTCGGCGATAAAAGATGAAAAGTCAACTTTTCTCGATCCCTCGAGATCGGTAGACTCGGCAGAAACTGGATGGTGGCGTGAACAGTCAAAATGTGACTGCACATAATGTGTGGAGACTTGACTACCTTCTTGCGGACACTTAGGGTTAGAGTCCTTTTGAATTCTAGAGTTCATAGTTGAACTGGCTGCTTGAGGGGATAGAGCATAGTGCGCAGAAGTACGCACCACCTCTCTGTTATTCTGAAGACGTTTAAAGCAGTCCTTGACATGATGACCAGGCCTTTTGCAGAACTGGCATACTGCTCGACGATTGAGAGTTGATCTTGGTTTCTCTCTGGACTGTGATGCCTTCAAAAGTTGGCCAACAGGAGGATTGCTGCCAAAAAGGGGAAGCACGGGGTTGAGGCGGTTTCCTGACACCGGTGGTTTCTTATGCACCAACATATATGTGTCAGCCGACTCAGCAGCCTTCTGGATGTCAGTTATCTTGTTATCCAGTATGTGTAGTCGTATCTCTTCAGGCAGGGACGATAGGAATTCTTCCCTTAGGATAAGTGACCTCAGTTTCTCAAACTCAGAAACTTCCTCCGAGTGTAGCCACCTTGAAAATATTTTCTCCTTTTCAAAGAGAAATTCCACATATGATTGTGTGGGTAACTTGCGGAGTGTACGGAATTTTGTCCGATAGGCCTCGGGCGTCAGTGCGTAGGCCTTTAAAATGGCAGTCTTGACCAAACTATAGTTATTTTGAACGTCGTGAGAGAGTGCCTGGTATGTTTTTGCAGCTTTCCCAGTAAGGACAGAGCTCAATAAAGCAGTAATGGAAGATTCGGGCCATTCACATGTCTTCGCTAAACTCTCAAACGAGTTAAAGAAAACGACCAAATCTGTTTCATCAAATTTAGGAACTAATTTCCCAAATTTGGCAATCACTTGCCCTACCGACAACTTTTTTGGATCTACCAGAGAAGTGACATCACTAACTTTACCCAATTCTGATTCCAACCTCCTCCTATCTAAAGCAATTTTAACTTCCAACTCCTGTTCTTTTAATGCCTTCTCTAAAGCAACTTTCTCCTCGCGGAGTAACACACCAGCCAACAAACTTTCATCAAATACCCCTTCATTAATGAAATGAACAACAATTTTATCTCTCAACACCTCTGACTTCTGCGTAACAGAATAATCCAATTTCAATTCCTTAACAACACTAACCAAAACTTTTCTACTCAACTTTTCTACATCTTCAACAGTAGGATTAGCCAAAAAAGACTCCATAACACTAACTTTCAAATCACAACAAGCCTAGATCCTTTAAATTAATACACAGCGTTGGGCCGTGTACTTGACCTCTAAATGTAGGACGTGACACGTCTGCTTATTTGACCTAGATACTCTAGCCTGAGCGCGCGTTGTAAGACCACGGCGCTACACTGGATATAAAAACAACTAAATCCAACTAACCTTAGTATTCAACTGATATAAACAACAACTGGAACGACAGATTAAATCTCGGCGAGCTCCCACTTTGTAACGTTAACCTATCTATCAGCCAAATAGAAGGAGAACGTCCCCGGATTCTTTTTTCGGGGTCATATGCAAATACCTTACGGCCTAAGTGGATGAACCTTAACACAACGACCACTAGGGCTCGAATTTAATGTCTAGGGAAGCTAGTGATACTATTGTAATTAACACTCATCCAATCTACATATAACCTTTAATCAGCGAACACAGAAGTGGCAAAACACAAGGTTGAACTAGATAAAATATTTAATGTATAAAATATCAAAACCCAACTTACACAATGTAGGAAAAATCACTATCACAGATTTCTACACTGTCTAATAATAGCCACAGGCCACACAACACTGCTGTAGCTTCAGGAATTACTTAGCGACAAGTAATATTAAACTAGAAGACTAAATCAATTTAAGAAAGCGTAGCACACACAGGTCTTAAGTACTCTCACGTTCAAATGGTCAGACTCTATAGCCGGACAATATGGACGGCCGCCTGATCAAGGTTAAACTGCCCCGTAGACTGCCAGGTCAAGAAAAACTGCCTCGTGTTGCGAGTGTGCAGTGCAATTAAAGACTTCTGTGACAGGGGAGGTTATCCTCAACTCATGTCGCCATTGGTTGGGATAATCATCTGATCAGAATCATTCAATCAGATTTTAATGGAAAATTTCTATGTCTCAAACACCTTAATAAGTCAGTGGAAAAACCCCAGGTGTTACACCATCATTCCATATAAGGAATTATACAATGTCAAAATAAAAATGACTCGACCTAAGTAGGTCACACGTGGAAACATGACACGTGGAAACATGACACGTGGAAACATGACACGTGGAAACATGACACGTGGAAACATGACACGTGGAAACATGACACGTGGAAACATGACACGTGGAAACATGACACGTGGAAACATGACACGTGGAAACATGACACGTGGAAACATGACACGTGGAAACATGACACGTGGAAACATGACACGTGGAAACATGACACGTGGAAACATGACACGTGGAAACATGACACGTGGAAACATGACACGTGGAAACATGACACGTGGAAACATGACACGTGGAAACATGACACGTGGAAACATGACACGTGGAAACATGACACGTGGAAACATGACACGTGGAAACATGACACGTGGAAACATGACACGTGGAAACATGACACGTGGAAACATGACACGTGGAAACATGACACGTGGAAACATGACACGTGGAAACATGACACGTGGAAACATGACACGTGGAAACATGACACGTGGAAACATGACACGTGGAAACATGACACGTGGAAACATGACACGTGGAAACATGACACGTGGAAACATGACACGTGGAAACATGACACGTGGAAACATGACACGTGGAAACATGACACGTGGAAACATGACACGTGGAAACATGACACGTGGAAACATGACACGTGGAAACATGACACGTGGAAACATGACACGTGGAAACATGACACGTGGAAACATGACACGTGGAAACATGACACGTGGAAACATGACACGTGGAAACATGACACGTGGAAACCTGACACGTGGAAACCTGACACGTGGAAACCTGACACGTGGAAACCTGACACGTGGAAACCTGACACGTGGAAACCTGACACGTGGAAACCTGACACGTGGAAACATGAGACGTGGAAACAGGAGACGTGGCAACAGGAGACGTGGCAACAGGAGACGTGGCAACAGGAGACGTGGCAACAGGAGACGTGGCAACAGGAGACGTGGCAACAGGAGACGTGGCAACAGGAGACGTGGCAACAGGAGACGTGGCAACAGGAGACGTGGCAACAGGAGACGTGGCAACAGGAGACGTGGCAACAGGAGACGTGGCAACAGGAGACGTGGCAACAGGAGACGTGGCAACAGGAGACGTGGCAACAGGAGACGTGGCAACAGGAGACGTGGCAACAGGAGACGTGGCAACAGGAGACGTGGCAACAGGAGACGTGGCAACAGGAGACGTGGCAACAGGAGACGTGGCAACAGGAGACGTGGCAACAGGAGACGTGGCAACAGGAGACGTGGCAACAGGAGACGTGGCAACAGGAGACGTGGCAACAGGAGACGTGGCAACAGGAGACGTGGCAACAGGAGACGTGGCAACAGGAGACGTGGCAACAGGAGACGTGGCAACAGGAGACGTGGCAACAGGAGACGTGGCAACAGGAGACGTGGCAACAGGAGACGTGGCAACAGGAGACGTGGCAACAGGAGACGTGGCAACAGGAGACGTGGCAACAGGAGACGTGGCAACAGGAGACGTGGCAACAGGAGACGTGGCAACAGGAGACGTGGCAACGTCGAAAGAGGCCACGTCGAAAGAGGCCACGTCGAAAGAGGCCACGTCGAAAGAGGCCACGTCGAAAGAGGCCACGTCGAAAGAGGCCACGTCGAAAGAGGCCACGTCGAAAGAGGCCACGTCGAAAGAGGCCACGTCGAAAGAGGCCACGTCGAAAGAGGCCACGTCGAAAGAGGCCACGTCGAAAGAGGCCACGTCGAAAGAGGCCACGTCGAAAGAGGCCACGTCGAAAGAGGCCACGTCGAAAGAGGCCACGTCGAAAGAGGCCACGTCGAAAGAGGCCACGTCGAAAGAGGCCACGTCGAAAGAGGCCACGTCGAAAGAGGCCACGTCGAAAGAGGCCACGTCGAAAGAGGCCACGTCGAAAGAGGCCACGTCGAAAGAGGCCACGTCGAAAGAGGCCACGTCGAAAGAGGCCACGTCGAAAGAGGCCACGTCGAAAGAGGCCACGTCGAAAGAGGCCACGTCGAAAGAGGCCACGTCGAAAGAGGCCACGTCGAAAGAGGCCACGTCGAAAGAGGCCACGTCGAAAGAGGCCACGTCGAAAGAGGCCACGTCGAAAGAGGCCACGTCGAAAGAGGACACGTCGAAAGAGGACACGTCGAAAGAGGACACGTCGAAAGAGGACACGTCGAAAGAGGACACGTCGAAAGAGGACACGTCGAAAGAGGACACGTCGAAAGAGGACACGTCGAAAGAGGACACGTCGAAAGAGGACACGTCGAAAGAGGACACGTCGAAAGAGGCCACGTCGAAAGAGGCCACGTCGAAAGAGGCCACGTCGAAAGAGGCCACGTCGAAAGAGGCCACGTCGAAAGAGGCCACGTCGAAAGAGGCCACGTCGAAAGAGGCCACGTCGAAAGAGGCCACGTCGAAAGAGGCCACGTCGAAAGAGGCCACGTCGAAAGAGGCCACGTCGAAAGAGGCCACGTCGAAAGAGGCCACGTCGAAAGAGGCCACGTCGAAAGAGGCCACGTCGAAAGAGGCCACGTCGAAAGAGGACACGTCGAAAGAGGACACGTCGAAAGAGGACACGTCGAAAGAGGACACGTCGAAAGAGGACACGTCGAAAGAGGACACGTCGAAAGAGGACACGTCGAAAGAGGACACGTCGAAAGAGGACACGTCGAAAGAGGACACGTCGAAAGAGGACACGTCGAAAGAGGACACGTCGAAAGAGGACACGTCGAAAGAGGACACGTCGAAAGAGGACACGTCGAAAGAGGACACGTCGAAAGAGGACACGTCGAAAGAGGACACGTCGAAAGAGGACACGTCGAAAGAGGACACGTCGAAAGAGGACACGTCGAAAGAGGACACGTCGAAAGAGGACACGTCGAAAGAGGACACGTCGAAAGAGGACACGTCGAAAGAGGACACGTCGAAAGAGGACACGTCGAAAGAGGACACGTCGAAAGAGGACACGTCGAAAGAGGACACGTCGAAAGAGGACACGTCGAAAGAGGACACGTCGAAAGAGGACACGTCGAAAGAGGACACGTCGAAAGAGGACACGTCGAAAGAGGACACGTCGAAAGAGGACACGTAGAAAGAGGACACGTAGAAAGAGGACACGTAGAAAGAGGACACGTAGAAAGAGGACACGTAGAAAGAGGACACGTAGAAAGAGGACACGTAGAAAGAGGACACGTAGAAAGAGGACACGTAGAAAGAGGACACGTAGAAAGAGGACACGTAGAAAGAGGACACGTAGAAAGAGGACACGTAGAAAGAGGACACGTAGAAAGAGGACACGTAGAAAGATGACACGTAGAAAGAGGACACGTAGAAACAGGACACGTAGAAACAGGACACGTTGAAAGAGGACACGTTGAAAGAGGACACGTTGAAAGAGGACACGTTGAAACAGGACACGTTGAAACAGGACACGTTGAAACAGGACACGTTGAAAGAGGACACGTTGAAACAGGACACGTTGAAACAGGACACGTTGAAACAGGACACGTTGAAACAGGACACGTTGAAACAGGACACGTTGAAACAGGACACGTTGAAACAGGACACGTTGAAACAGGACACGTAGACATATGTATGACGACCCGTGCTCTGATGACCCATGCCGTTATGACCCGTGCTGTGAGAAACCGTGTGGGGAGAACATGTGATGACCCTTAATGTGAGGATCCATGCCATGAAGAACCGTGTTGGGAGAACATTTGAAGACCGTGCTAAGAGGACCTGTGTTGTGAAGGACAAGGGGACCTGTGTGGGAAGTGTGTGTTGTGTGATGAAGCTGATGATGATGCCCATTTCTACAAATTAGATAAGTAGAACCTCTTCATATATTTTTAAGTAGTAGGCATGTACGAAAGAGGCCACGTCGAAAGAGGCCACGTCGAAAGAGGCCACGTCGAAAGAGGCCACGTCGAAAGAGGCCACGTCGAAAGAGGCCACGTCGAAAGAGGCCACGTCGAAAGAGGCCACGTCGAAAGAGGCCACGTCGAAAGAGGCCACGTCGAAAGAGGCCACGTCGAAAGAGGCCACGTCGAAAGAGGCCACGTCGAAAGAGGCCACGTCGAAAGAGGCCACGTCGAAAGAGGCCACGTCGAAAGAGGCCACGTCGAAAGAGGCCACGTCGAAAGAGGCCACGTCGAAAGAGGCCACGTCGAAAGAGGCCACGTCGAAAGAGGCCACGTCGAAAGAGGCCACGTCGAAAGAGGCCACGTCGAAAGAGGCCACGTCGAAAGAGGCCACGTCGAAAGAGGCCACGTCGAAAGAGGCCACGTCGAAAGAGGCCACGTCGAAAGAGGACACGTCGAAAGAGGACACGTCGAAAGAGGACACGTCGAAAGAGGACACGTCGAAAGAGGACACGTCGAAAGAGGACACGTCGAAAGAGGACACGTCGAAAGAGGACACGTCGAAAGAGGACACGTCGAAAGAGGACACGTCGAAAGAGGACACGTCGAAAGAGGACACGTCGAAAGAGGACACGTCGAAAGAGGACACGTTGAAACAGGACACGTTGAAACAGGACACGTTGAAACAGGACACGTTGAAACAGGACACGTAGACATATGTATGACGACCCGTGCTCTGATGACCCATGCCGTTATGACCCGTGCTGTGAGAAACCGTGTGGGGAGAACATGTGATGACCCTTAATGTGAGGATCCATGCCATGAAGAACCGTGTTGGGAGAACATTTGAAGACCGTGCTAAGAGGACCTGTGTTGTGAAGGACAAGGGGACCTGTGTGGGAAGTGTGTGTTGTGTGATGAAGCTGATGATGATGCCCATTTCTACAAATTAGATAAGTAGAACCTCTTCATATATTTTTAAGTAGTAGGCATGTACGAAAGAGGCCACGTCGAAAGAGGCCACGTCGAAAGAGGCCACGTCGAAAGAGGCCACGTCGAAAGAGGCCACGTCGAAAGAGGCCACGTCGAAAGAGGCCACGTCGAAAGAGGCCACGTCGAAAGAGGCCACGTCGAAAGAGGCCACGTCGAAAGAGGCCACGTCGAAAGAGGCCACGTCGAAAGAGGCCACGTCGAAAGAGGCCACGTCGAAAGAGGCCACGTCGAAAGAGGCCACGTCGAAAGAGGCCACGTCGAAAGAGGCCACGTCGAAAGAGGCCACGTCGAAAGAGGCCACGTCGAAAGAGGCCACGTCGAAAGAGGCCACGTCGAAAGAGGCCACGTCGAAAGAGGCCACGTCGAAAGAGGCCACGTCGAAAGAGGCCACGTCGAAAGAGGCCACGTCGAAAGAGGCCACGTCGAAAGAGGCCACGTCGAAAGAGGACACGTCGAAAGAGGACACGTCGAAAGAGGACACGTCGAAAGAGGACACGTCGAAAGAGGACACGTCGAAAGAGGACACGTCGAAAGAGGACACGTCGAAAGAGGACACGTCGAAAGAGGACACGTCGAAAGAGGACACGTCGAAAGAGGACACGTCGAAAGAGGACACGTCGAAAGAGGACACGTTGAAACAGGACACGTTGAAACAGGACACGTTGAAACAGGACACGTTGAAACAGGACACGTAGACATATGTATGACGACCCGTGCTCTGATGACCCATGCCGTTATGACCCGTGCTGTGAGAAACCGTGTGGGGAGAACATGTGATGACCCTTAATGTGAGGATCCATGCCATGAAGAACCGTGTTGGGAGAACATGTGAAGACCGTGCTAAGAGGACCTGTGTTGTGAAGGACAAGGGGACCTGTGTGGGAAGTGTGTGTTGTGTGATGAAGCTGATGATGATGCCCATTTCTACAAATTAGATAAGTAGAACCTCTTCATATATTTTTAAGTAGTAGGCATGTACATTTTTTTTTCTATTACGTCCTAGTGAAACAAAAAATTGTAGTGGTTAAGCAGGGGCTGTAGGTATTATGAGCCCATTGCTGTGTTATGCTGATGAGGGTCGTAATATGATAAGTAAGACATCAGTATTAGTGATAATTGATATTGTTATAGTTAATGTGGACACTCCGGTTTTAGGGCGGTGTTATGTTATTGACAAGATGATAATGTCACTATGATCTTGATTTGATTTGGTATAATGATATGATTTATAATTTATGATATGTGATGATATTTTGTACTATGAGGTTTGTTTTCTTAGCGTAAGGAACCCAGTAGATTAGGATAATGTTGTTTTATGATAATTTGGTGTCGTCACCCGGCCAGCAGGGGGATAGTTCGTTGGTCGGTTGCTTCATCGGTAGTTAGTTGATTTCAAGACTGAGGATGCAGTCAGATTTTTTTTGTGGGTAGTTCGAGGATGTACCGAGTACCTGGTCATGGATTTAAGGGTTCTAGGGAAAATATTCCTCTATGTGATATCGTATTTGGTTACTGAAGATGTTAAGAATTATTATTGGTAGGCCTACATGTCATTGTAACATGAGATAAATATATGCAGGTGATATAGTGAATTATAAAATTTGATATGGTTACTTAATTAAACTAAATTAACACTTGGGATGTGATTTATTGTATAAATAATGTAGCGTAATTAACAGAAGAGGTACTACATTAGATTAAGTCTAATACATTAGGTTAGAGAGACTATGTTAGATCCTGATAACCGATTAGTAGTGACATGTTGTTTTCCCCTAGAAATAATTTGTTTTCATTGGAACTGATGCGATGTTTAAGGTCTATGATATGAACGACATTGTATGAAATCCTGGCCTTTACGTGAAGTGTGATTGTATGATGTACACCCAACTGGTGATCTGAGATGTATACTTTGCAGAATCGTCGAAATATGGTTGTTCGCGCGGAGACATGAACTAAACTGAAACCTCAAGAATTAGTTAAGATTATTTAGCCTTTAAGGTCTATATGTGAATGCTACCATAGTTGCTATTGTTAGGTAAAATAGAATGTTGTATTATTGATGTAATTAATAAAGCTAATGTGATTAGCTTGAAGGGAGAGGGGGGTAATGTTATGATGCATGTTCGACTAGGGAAATTGGTGCGCATGAATGTTGGTGCGAAGCGATAATATTGAACGAGTGAAAGTGTGACGCGGTACGCAAGAAAGTGACGTTTTAGTGTGAGTTCGTTGTTGCCAGAGAAGCTTCAGTTAGTCTTGTTCGTGTTATGTTAGGGTTAGGTTGTCCAGTTTGTTCAAGCTGTCCGATGTCTATTTCTATAGTGCAATAAATGTAATTAGTAAACAATGTCATTCTGTCAAATCATTAGTAAGCGTTGATGTTGTTGTGTCTCAAGATGCACTATTGCATAGCTAAACATAATCAAATGGTAGTGGTATTGAAATATGGTATTGGATCAAGTAGTTCTACCCTCTCACTGCATAGCTGTGGTACACATATAGAACCCAGTTATAACAAACATGATGCATGGAACATGATGCATGGAACATGATGCATGGAACATGATGCATGGAACATGATGCATGGAACATGATGCATGGAACATGATGCATGGAACATGATGAACATGATGCATGGAACATGATGCATGGAACATGATGCATGGAGCATGATGCATGGAACATGATGCATGGAACATGATGCATGGAGCATGATGCATGGAGCATGATGCATGGAACATGATGCATGGAACATGATGCATGGAACATGATGCATGGAGAATGATGAATGAAACATGATGCATGGAACATGATGCATGGAACATGATGCATGGAACATGATGCATGGAACATGATGCATGGAACATGATGCATGGAACATGATGCATGGAACACGATGCATGGAACACGACGCATGGAACACGACGCATGGAACACGACGCATGGAACACGACGCATGGAACACGACGCATGGAACACGACGCATGGAACACGACGCATGGAACACGACGCATGGAACACGACGCATGGAACACGACGCATGGAACACGATGCATGGAACACGACGCATGGAACACGACGCATGGAACACGACGCATGGAACACGACGCATGGAACACGACGCATGGAACATGAAGCATGGAACATGATGCATGGAACATGATGCATGGAACATGATGCATGGAACATGATGCATGGAACACGAAACACGATACACGAAACACGATACACGAAA